AAGCTGATCGCAATATGGGCAATTACATCATAGCATTTTCGACGTTTTCCTCAAACCCTTCTTTAACAGGACGTAGACAGTGAGGCTGAAGACACCAATGAGTCTAAAGAAGATTCCGGTGACGTCTTCGATATCGGGAAACCCATGACTGAGTGGACTGGCGACGACTTTCCGAGAATGAAACCAAAAAAACCCAGGGGTATAAACGTAGTTTCTCAGGCTTACGCGGACTTTCGACGCAAGATTTTCGTGAAAAAGAAGCCTGTAAACAAAGACCACGACGACAACGACTATGACGAGGGCAAAGAAAGCGATGCAGAGGAAGCAGAGGACGACGACGAGAAATACGATATAGTGATGAGGGAGGATGTTTGTTGTGACGGCAGTGGTGGCATCTTCGGCCTTCTCCTTCTTCTCGTCCTCGATGTCGCCTACGTGGCCTGGTCTTGCTATTGCAAAAAGCTGGCAACCGAGGATGATATTCGACTGCTATGGCTCTCCGTAATTGTGTGGATCGTTATCCTTTGCAAAGTGTTCAGAAGACTGGCCCGCATAGGCAAACAACGGGGAGGTTGTTGTTCTGCCTTCTATTCTTGCCGTAAAGCTCTCCACAGGGGCTGGCATGGCTTCCTCAATTTGTGCAAAAAACCCTGGGATGCCTGTTGGAGCCGTGCCAACGGTACCGAAAAAGAAATTAAAAGGAAGAAGCATCTGGTACTCAAATGGTAGGTTTATTAGTCTGTCTTTTCATTTTTGTTTTGTCACTCTTTGAAGACCCGCTCCTGAAAACCGCCCTTTTTGGGCCTCTACGTTCAGTATGCCAGACGGAGTTAACTAAAAAATGATCAGTACTTACCTAACAATTCCAAAGGGGACCCAGACAAACTGAATTCGAACAGGAAATTCAGGGAGCTGGAAGCTTGTCAAACTGTCATGTGTTAAAACCATGCTTCACTGACAAATCCACTTACGGATACACAAAAGTGTTAGGAAAGGAGCGAGGGATATTTTGCCCGTTGACCTACATCAGGAACTCATGACCGCCAGTGCTATGATTTACAAATTTTATAAACTTCGTTGGAAATAAATCGTCAATTTGCGGTGAAAATGAGAAGTTGATTATTTTTGGTCTCATTAACTTTGCTTTCGAGCTCATATATTTTAGACTATATCAGAAATTTAAGCGTTCACCTACGTAGCGTATACATTCCAACGCTGTTTCTTACTTTATAGAATGAAAAGAACTCTGACAAGTTCATACCGTTTTCCCAAATCAAGGCAAAAGTATATGTCCACTATTGTAACATTACTTCGCTGTCGGCCCGTATATGCGCTCGCTTGGTCTAAAATTAGGTTCGTTTAAAGAGGTTTTGGCTGTTAGATATACAGGCAGTAAAGAATTACTTGTTCATGAGGACATCCAAACTTTATGAGACAAGTGTCAACAAAAGATTAATTATGCTATTAAAACTACTTCGTTTGCAAGAAGCGTCTTGTAATTAGCAAAATACGAATACAAAGTCGAGCTCTATCGACATCTGGCATCTTATATTCGCACCATTTCATGCGGTATTTTATGTTAAGTAATTTTTAAATAAACGTAGTATTAGGCAAATTCAGTTGAACCAACATGTCAGGTGGTTAAAAATAGTAGACATGAAAGTTATAGTGGTGGCACCGAAAACTTCACATTTACTACTCGTATTATTTGTTTATTGTTGTTGTTGCCTATTATCTCTTTTTCAGGATCGCCATAAGCCTTATGCTCGCATTCGTCATCCTCTGTCTCATTTTCTTCGTCATTTTAAAGGATGTTCGTAATCTGGTCTCCCTTTCTGGCATAGTGTTGTTGCTTTTGATTAGTATCTTGATATCCTGGCATCCTGGGAAGGTAAGTCGGCAGTTTAAATCCCTTCTTCTAAGAGGTACAAATATGAAAATGAAATCTAAACTTAAAGGGAGCATCACATCGGCCAGTTTCTCTTCTAAAATGCATATTGTATCATTAGGCGTCGGCATATAGTCCGCCCCTGTCTGTCTGTCTACAACAAATGACGGAATGTCATTATCTTTTTCTTAAACGACTTTTACAAAAAACCCCACAGCGACCAATGCACTACATGACTTCCCCTTCGTAGCCAATTCCCATAAAAGCACAGGAGGTAGCTGTATGGTCAGATAACAAAGAAAATTATGAGAGAGCACTTTTTGTCTCCATCAGACTATGCTGCAATGGGCCCGTTTTATCTCTTTGCTCTACGTGCTTTCGTGAGTGTAACCCCTTCTTTACGCAAGGTAACGATTCCCGCCGTAGCCAACTGGAATCACTGCATTAAAAATGGCTATCCGTGTCCCTAAAGAATAGCACACCTTAGCTGTACCGCGGAGTACAGCATTCAGCCTCTTAATCCAAGAAAACAACTGAAGCACTCATAGTAAAAAATATGCAGAGGTTAGTTTTATAGTTCACGTTTTACTTATCGAAATAAATTTGTTTGTTTGCTGACGTTTCGGACAGCTGGGCTGGCTGTCCTTTATCGATGCGTATACTAACTTTATCAATCAGCGGCTGTACGTGTTGGCCTTGGGCTAATCGATTTTTCTCCGCCCGCTGTTTGGCCCTCCGTGTGGATTTTGGCATAGCTTGACGGCAGTTGATGTTCTGTTTCGTCCCCACGGTAGAGCAGCGAGCATTGACGGATGCTCTAAGCATTGATATACCATAAACTGAATATTTGTAATGATCCACCTATAGAATGAGGAAATTCCCCCGAATAGGTTGCTCTCAAAAAGCGTCCAATTGTGGTCCTTCGCGGTTACTTGAAGTAAAACGGTCGCCCCTGATTGACACTTCATAGACGGCTCCAGCTCTTAGCAAGTCATAATATAGTTTACGTGTAGGCTGTGACGATAACATTTCTGGGGTACTTGATGTTAACTTAGCTTAAATTATAGTCGCTGAAACAGTCAGCCTTCGCACATTTCATTAGTTTCATTGTATCAAATCCGGTGGAAATATTTATAATGTTTGCGCACAGACGTGTTAAATTCAACATTTCTCAGTAAAAAAAAACAATCAAATCAGAATTAAATATGATGCAATCAAGTAATCTTGCGAACTTTCCGTAGGCCACACTAAAATAGCCAAGACCTGAAACACTATTGACAAGAGCACGAAATTACGAAATGGAACACCAATTTCCTGGAATTTTTTAAATAGTCTGAGAAAGGTGGCTGACTATCGACCCAGATCGTTTTAAACGACAGACCATGACTTTTGAAACGGCTAACAGTGCCGTGTTTAATGCTCCCGGACATGTTATTCCAAAGAAACATAAAATTTTCTGTACCTCAGATTCTATTAAAGTTTATCACACAAACTGTTATTTATTACTGTTTTAGATCAAGTGGCAGCCACCACTGGTCGGCATCTTCATCCAACTTCTTTTTGGTGTTCTCACACTGCAGACTAGACCAGGCTATATTGCTTTCCAGTGGTTAGGGGACCGAATGTCTGAATTCCTAGAAAACAGCAAAGCCGGTTCTGGGTTTGTCTTCGCCGATTATCACTGCTTCGCTTTTGACGTACGTATTTTATTTTTAATGAAAATTCATGCCCACTTTGTGATAAATCTTATTCTCACCGTTTGCCAGCCCCGTTTACGCCCCTTTCTAGGTTGGTTGTGTTTATTAAAGTCCGTTAATTGTTTCGAACAAACTTCGCGTACTTGCGTTTTGAATTTCCCCCTTTTGAACTTTATCCGCAGTAACTAATTTCAAAAAGGTAGATTGCCAAAGTCATAACTGGAGTCGACATTTAACAGATCTACTTTCATAAAGTGTCCGCCGCTTAATCTCAACCTAGTTGGTAAGGGAGTCCCGGGTCTATCACCGTACGGATAAAAGAAACTTGGTATTAAGATAGTGAATTGAAAGAAAGAAAGAAGTCACAGTTGCTTTTAATCACCAACGAAAGCCGAAAGTGAACAGGTAACTGCATACTACTT